AAATCAAACATTGTGGTATACGTATTTCAATTGGGGTTTTATTTCAGGAATTTTCAAGTAACCACTAGCACAAAATGCTAGGTTTTCAGGCCTTACAGATCTTGTGGATATACTGTATAAAAAGTACAAAATGCCAAGAGGTTAGGACTTACCAAGAACGCCCAGTCTGTACTGCAGAGTGATCAGAACGATGTCTTCGTTAAGCAGGACGTGAGGAGGGTACAGACTGCTGCTGTCACCAAAGTAAGCACCGCCGTGGATGTACACGAGTACTGGCAATCCTGCCTCTGTCTGGTTCGGCTATCAAGAGACGAGGTGAAGGTCGGAGGGATACTCATACATCTACCACGCCCAACTAACACCATACATGTAATTTTCACTCACCACTATAAATAAAAACATACATCCTTCACAACTCACGTCAACACTGCGACAGTCATACAGCTCACTCCTAGATCCCCGCAACTCACTCTCATATTTCTAAAACTTATTCCCTCTTACAGCACACCCACATCCCTACAACTCGCTTCATCAATTGTCTTAATTCACACCCAAATGCCTTTGTATTATTCCGCTTTTACAAAACTCATTTCTACATTTCAACACCCCCGGAAATTTCCCTTGGGAAAACACCTTCCTTACTTAAAAACAGAAAAGATGTGTGTATGGGGGGGGGTTCATTTTTGAAATATAACATAAACGAGGGTTTCCTTTTTTCTAAGAACCTTGTTTGGAGCTGTTTATTTTTGTGGCTTGGCCCCGGGGCCGGGCCTCCAGCAGCAAAACTTTTCAAAATACGTTACATGAAAAGGGACCGGAACATCTGTTACTATACCCTATCCTAATACTGCCAACCATAGTACTTAGACTAATTCAAGTGAATAGACTTCTATTCTCGCCGTTGCCCAGCGATGAGAGTAGCGACTCTCATTGCTGAGGTCCAGGTAATAAACCCTGGACATTAACATCATAGCGGATTCAAAATTTGTCCATGGAGTTCTATATATTTAATAAATCTTAAGGTAACTTAATAATTATCATCTTATTATATTAAACTATAGTCTTTACACTGAAATGGATGCATCTTTAACTTATTTTGGAGATAATATATCATAGGACTTGAGAATTATTATTATTATTATTATTATTATTATTATTATTATTATTATTATGCGAGTAAATTACCTGCAGCTGGCTTACAGGGCATTACCTGAATTATTACCTGCAAGTAATTTAGGTGAGGTAAGTGGGACTTAAGTCACAGCAGATTGCCTAACTGTATCTCCCTCGATGCCCACTCCCTTCCAATCTCACAAAAAGCTACACCTGACATTAACTTAATAATTACACTACTAAACATTAATTCCAATAATGGTAAATTATAAAATAATTTTGACTGTATATGATTAGGCATGCTGGGTACACGAAAGAAATTGGTATTAACACTTACCATTTAAATACTGGAAAACACTTAATGCTGATGGGAACACACCCTAACCTTATCCTAGAAGCTAAAATTTACGATAGCCAACGCAAAAACTACTGTACTTGATGGGTATGCGTCACTTAGCTGAGGTGTGCTGCTGGGGGAATTGGTGCCCTCTATTTTCCCGTCCTCGTTGCGAATACTATTTATGCTAATTCTTTAGCAGGGGACATCAACACGAGTTCCTATTACAAATTCAGACCGTAAACCCTCATTAACAGTGCCTGATTACATTGCACAATTCAGTCCAATGTTCACGCATTAAATTCAATATGGCGTCTCTCCTCTGCGGCGTCACTCCTCGAAATTTCTCGAAGGGTCCAAATAGCATTACATTTTAATACGCAATTATTATATTATTCATTTACATGTTCTACATTTAGGAAATTATGTAAAAAAAATCCACAAAACTCACTGGATGGTACATTTCATTAGTAATTTCTGGTGGCTGACACGTCCTGAACGTTACTACTTAACGTTCACCTCAACCTTAATCTAAAGGAAATGCACTTATATGCTTATTAATGAAATTTGTACATAATACTTAAAGCCAACATGGAAAATACAGGCAACAATACCTGTGATATATGAGGATAAGTGAATTACCAGGAAACTTCTAACATCTCTCCATCCATGAAATAGTCTGAGTAAAAATAAATACTTTGTTAGAAAACTGACCTAATTAATCAAGAGAGAACCTGATATTTTTTTTAGGAAAGGCATTACTCAGTAAAGGTACTCACCTTACTAGAGAAAACATTGAGGTAAAGACAGTCCTCGTGGCCAACCAGTTCAGTCCCCCCGCTGATAAGGGAAAGAAACGGGATCTGGGTGCAAGGAGTAGGATACTCTCGTTTTTCCCACTCTCACTCCCTCCCAGGGATCAGCCTCCACTGATCCTAAATGTATACATACATATATATGCATACATATAAATATATATAAGTGTAAGTATACCTTTTATTATTTTCCGGTACCCATACACAGATCAATAGGTAAAAAAAATGCCGAAAATCTAATAAATATATAAATTTTACTCATTAGAACAATATTTTTTAAGTCTAACAGGAAGAAAGTGTCCAATAATGTTTTCTTTCGGTGGCAGCGTTGGTACACTATTACCGTTAACTTTATTTTTTTAATAATATAATAATAATACTACTAATACTACTACTACTACTACAATAATTATAAAAAATAATAATAATAATAATAATAAATAATAATTAATAATAATAATATTACCGTTAACCGTAGACCTTGGAATTTGATTTATACATAGCCTTCGCTGTTGATGTTAGTAATGTCAGAACTGCACTCTGAGGCTACTTCCTTTATTGGTTTAATGCCTGTCGACTGCATAGGATTATTAAAAGGTGAATGTTACCTGTCCACCACCAGTCAAGAATACTTCAATCCCTAAAATAGGGATGAAAAACAAGCACTGTGTATATACACAAACACCTCTTTGTGTATATACGCAGATAAGTAACTGGATGTATATATAGCAAAAGATACACGCCCTTGGTTTATATACCGTTGACATGTAGACATAAACTGACCTTACAATTTTAAATCTTTATTTTGCACAGAGAACCTTCACGGCGCGCATAACGGAGATAAAAACACCTCAATTACTGGGAGCGCTTGAAAGTTCTGAACTGTACTCCCTGGAAACGCAGGCGGGAGAGATACATGATTATATACACCTGGAAAATTCTAGAGAGACTAGTAACCAAACTTGCACACGAAATCCACTCACAACGAAAGCAAAGACTCGGCAGACGATGCAACATCCCCCATGAAAGCAGGAGTGTCACTAGCACATTAAGAGACAATACAATAAGTGTCAGGGGCCCAAGACTGTTCAACTGCCTCCCAGCATACATAAGGGGGATTACCAATAGACCCCTGGCTGTCTTCAAGCAGGCACTGGACAAGCACCTAAAGTCGGTACCTGACCAGCCGGCTGTGGCTCGTACGCTGGATTGCGTGCAGCCAGCAGTAAAAAGCCTGATTGATCAGGCCCTGATCCATCATGAGAACTGGTCACAGACCGGGCCGCGGGGGCGTTGACCCCCCGAACTCCTCCAGGTAACTCCAGCAATATATGAAAACTAAACTAAAATACATGTGTGCCACACTCCTCCAAATATACTGACTACTGAGTCACAGAAATGAAACTGTAATGTAGATTGTTGGAAACATTAAACACATATGCAGTTTAAGTGATCCTTTATTGACAACGTTTCGCCCACACAGTGGGCTTTTTCAAGTCACAAACAGATCTACCTGGGTGGAAGGTACGTGAGTACTTATAGTCAGGTTCAGAATGTTGGGGGTCACGTATTCACATATCTTCCACCCAGGTAGATCTGTTTGTGACTTGAAAAGCCCACTGTGTGGGCGAAACGTTGTCAATAAAGGATCACATTAAACTACAGGTGTTATGTTTCCATTGTGTCGGTATTTTATACCATTTATTTTCAATGTAGATTGTTCTTCCTTTAGCTCATGTTAGCGGCACTCCTACCAGTTCCTCCACTTTGTGGGGAATGGACAGTTGCCTGAAAAATTTCACTGGCTGAGCTTCTGTGACAGACAAAATATACTGTCTTTTGAAACCTTTTTTTTTTTTCTTTCAAGACAGACTGGACCTACATCCCTAGCCTAGCATTCGTCAGTGAAATTCACCGAAGGGGTTCTAGCCTCACTCTTTCATGCTGGAGCTGAAATGTTGTGGAAGTTTTGACAACAAAACTATATCCTAATAAGCTTTAGCTGGGGGAGAAAGCGATTACATGGTCTTCAAAACTGCATGATCAGAACCTAACACTGCACACACTCACAAAATAAAAATATAACACCTGATTAAATTAATTCACGACTACCAAAATTTCCCAAAAACAATTAATCACACTAAGATGAAATAACTACCAGACTCAAAATAATTACAATTATACTAAGATAAAATAGTCTGGTATAGTAAAAATCTAAGAAATTTACAGTGCTAGAACGGAAGCTTCAAAGTTTCCCCGGGTTCCTGATGGTATCCCTAGGAATAAGATCAGCAAAATTTGATTTAAAAGGCTGAAACTGTGGATGAAATGTTAAAAATGTCACAGCATTATCTGCACAGAAAAGATAAATATCACTTGAAGGCATGTAACTCTGGGTGAGGTATGCCTGACTTACCCTCAGTTTACAGAATCACAGTGTTAATTCTTGTGAACTGAGAATCAAAGACCCACGTCCAGCAGAGACCTGCACAGTTTATTGGTCATCTGCACTGCCTATGAAGTGCATATTATGTTCTCTATACATAAACCTAGGTAGTTTTAAAACTGTTACAACGGTTTACACTTTGCAGATTATATAACGTTCTAAGCAAAACTAAACGTTGTCACAGTAGGATCTTGTCATCGTACGATGTAATATAGCTAAAGATGTGATGTTTTCACCTTATATTAAAGGAAATCACCATCCTACCTTGCGGAGACTTTGTGATACTGACCTTGAAGCGAAGCTTCCCCAGCGGAGGTTTGGCGTTTGGGTATGTTGTAGTAGGAGTAGAAGTTCCTGCCCTTGTGGATGTCTCCTGTACCCCGGTCACCCATCCAAGTTGTGTCCACACCAGCGAGTCTCCAAACCATCATAGAGGAAGAACAGGGGGGTGGAGAGGTAGAGGAGAGAGAGGAAGGAGCAACAGTGGAAGGTAGATACGGTGGACGAGAGAAGGAAGCAGAAAACCAGGACGGAGAGGTGGGGGAGCGAGGGGAACTGGGTGTAGTGTCCCCTTCCCATCTTCTGTCAGTACTGACAGCTACCACCATCACCATCACTACACACCTTAACATCCTGTTTAGAAAAGTTTATCTTGATAACTTAGTGTACAACTGATGGTCATCCTCAGTACAAAATTATTAAATTATTCAACAACTTTACTGTGGAAAATTTTGATAATTTTCCTGTAATTTGTAGTAATTGATAGGAAAATAATGTTTATGTAACAGTGTTAATATGTATCTTGAATGTGGCTTAAAACGTGTTAAGTCATACGAGAACCTATATTCTCTACACTTTCCTGATTTATTGTAATCTATTAATATGTAATCAGTGTAATTTAGAGGGATGTAAATAACGTGATTAAAAGTATCTAAGACATGAATCGTAGCAATGGTTTCAAGCTGGAAAAAAATAGGTTCAGGATATAGGAAAGCACTGGTTTAGCAATAGTTGTGGATGAGTGGATTATATTATAATCATAAGGGAGCGCTAAACCCATAGGAATTATACAGTGCCTGTGGGGAAAAGGGGGTGATGGAAGGTATTCAGACTCAGTGCCGGGAACTGGAGCACAGATCCAATTCCCTAGATCAAGAGCCCCTCACCAGCATCAAGGAACCTTCCCTGAGGGGATGGATGAGTGGAACAAACTCCCGAGTGCCGTCATTGAAGCTAAAACGTTGTGCAGCTTTAAAAATAGGTTAGACAAATACATGAGTGGGTGTGAGTTGGACCTGAATGGCTTGCACTGGTAGGTCTGATGCAGTGATCCATCTTTCTTAAGTGGATGTGACTTGGACCTAACTGCTTCGGCCCTGGTAGCTTGGGCCAATAAGTGGCTTGGACCTGCCTAGCATGGGCCAGTAGGCCTGTTGCAGTGTTCCTTCTTTCTTATTTTCTTATATCTCGAAGGCTGATGGACTGATTACATTTGCAAACCAATGTTTTACTATACCCTTTCTAAATCTAAATTTATGCAATGTGAATCCATTATTTCGAGTTCTTTCTTGGAGAGATATCCTCAAGACCTTATTAATACCTATTTCAACCACTTACTGCCATCCCGTGAGGTCACACAATACAAACTTAAAGCGCTGTAACCCTGAATTCTCTTCCACTAAACTCAACTCACAAACACAACTGCGCATTATATTAGAGCAAAAACCTTGCATGCGTGCCTCAAGCCTTGTTGCTGATATTTTCCTCTTGGACGTCATACTCAGCACCTGAGACGTCAGACACTCCTGATTCCTGGGACGTCAATCACTCAGCACCTGACTCTTCGAGCGTCACTCAGCACCTGACTCCTGGGACGTCACTCAGCACCTGATTCCTCGAATGTCATTCATGACCTGACTCCTGGGACGTCACTCAGCACCTGACTCCTGGAACATCACTCAGCACCTGACTCCTCGAACGTCACTCCTGACCTGACTCCTGGGACGTCACTCAGCACATAGACTCCTCGAACGTCACTCAGCACCTGACTCCTGGGACGTCACTCAGCACCTGATTCCTGGGACGCCACTCAGCACCTGACTCCTGGAACGTTACTCAGCACCTGATTCCTGGGACGTCACTCAACACCTGACTCCTGGGACGTTACTCAGCACCTGACTCCTAGGACGTCACTCAACTCCTGACTCCTGGGACGTCACTCAGCACCTGACTCCTAGGACGTCACTCAGCACCTGACTCCTGGGATGTCACTCAGCGCCTGACTCCTGGGACGTCATTCAGCACCTGACTCTTGGGCCTGGATACACTCTATGAGACTTAACTTTATTGATAAGAGACAAATGGTACACCGACACTTCGGATAAAAGAGACTAATGTAGTATCCTGCAATCCTTTATCGACAACGTTAACACGCACACACACGGAACTGTACTGGACCACGTATCCATGGAACATTTTGAAGCTGAGCGATTTTTCTGTTATTCCCTCCTCCGTCACCTGTCTCCGTTATGTTAGCGATAATCTCATCGTAACTCCTAGCTGATTCAACTCCCCTTTACTCCAACACAAGCTGAACCTGGCCGAGCATTCTATCCAATTACCGCTCGATTAAGTCGACAATACTCTTTCTTCCTTGATGTTCTTGTGGATGTGGCATGCGAAGAGTACGTTACAACTTATTCCATATGTCACACGTCCATTTTTGGCAATCCTTCCGACCAGTGAACTAGCAATTGCGAGTATAACAATCGGATGCCCTCTCCTGAGCAGCTTTACCAGCAGCTGAGAGAAGAACTCAGAGTTGCTAAACTGGAGATACGGCGATTAACGGAGGAGAACAAGAGGATTCGTAGTAATCCACCTGTTGTGAGTCCCCAGGTTAAGAGGGGAGCTTGGTCAGTGGCGGGCAACATGGAACCAAGCTGAAGATTAAGAAAACGGTTGGAGAGGCAGAAACAACGAGAAACCAGAAGACTGCCGTGGAAACTTCCAATCATTCTCGGTGCTACTGACGAATGTGAGTGTTCTACTGGGAATGCCACAACGAGCACCAAGGAAGCATTGGCAGACGTGAGTGAGACATCCTAGAAACCCCAACGAAGACCATCGAGAACGTCATGACGAATTCTACAAGTGGTGTAATGCTACCTGGCGAATGTGAGTCGACTACTCGGAGCATCACTACGGACGACGCCAAGGAAGGTAAAAACATTGTTGTTGTTGGGGATAGCCAGATTAGGTACATGGATAGGGCATTCTGTTTGAAGGACAGGACTAGGAGGCAGAGAGTATGTTTTCCTGGGGCTGGGATGAGGATATTGTTAGCCGTCTGGATGACATCATGAGAGGTAATGGGAGCAATCCTATTATCTGTCTCAGTGCTGGATGGCAACGATGTTGGCAGACGTAGGAGTGAGGACCTGATTAGCAGGTATAGGTCAGCAATAGAGATAATTAGGAAGAAGGGTGGGAAACCTGTCATATGTGGCATTTTGCCAAGGAGACGAGTTGGAAATGAATGGTTGTCCAGAGCAATTGGTGTCAATTGCTGGCTGGACAAATACTGTAAGGAAAATGCGGTAACATTCATTGACAAATGGGACCTCTTCTATGGCAGAAATGACATGTATGCCAGGGATGGGGTTCACTTGTCTAGGTGTGGGGTGGGAGCACTGGCCAACGCAGTGGAGGGAGCTGTTAGGTCTTTAAACTAGGAATAGTTAGTGGTATGGGTTTTGGCGGGAAAACTGTGAAGTCGCAGGGTAGTAACATGAGTACTAGGAGAACTAGTAATAGGCAAAATGAGGAGGATATTGGAAAGCCAGTGGCACTAATTGACAATGACAGTAATAGGTTTAGTGGGAATAACAGAAAGGAGCAGGAAGGGTAAAGAGATAGGAGGGTCATTAAATATTTATTACACAAATAGTCGCAGTGCTAGGAATAAGATGGACGAGTTGAGACTAGTTGCCAGTGCAGGTAACATAGATGTATTTACCATTTACTGAGACGTGGTTTAATTCAAAAAGTCGGGACATGCCTGCAGAATGTCACATTCAGGGTTTTAAATTGTTCCAAGTAGATAGAAGTATCGGGAAGGGAGGTGGGGTGGCATTGTATGTCCGAGATCGCTTGAACTGTTGCATAAAAAACGGGTATTAAGTCTGAAGTAACCATACAGAGTCTGTTTGGATAGAATTTTCAGAGGGACATGAAAAATTAATTTTAGGTGTGATATACCGTCCCCCAAATTTAGATAGGGACCAGGGGGGGACTACTATGGGAGGAAATTGTTAGGGCCACAAGGCACGATAATGTAGTAATTTAGGAGACTTTAACTTTAGTCATATTGATTGGAATTTCTTGACTGGGAATTTAGAATCATACGATTTCTTAGAAGTAGTTCAGGATTGTTTTTTGAAGCAGTTTGTGACAGAACCTACAAGGGGTAATAACCTGCTTGACTTAGTTCTGGCAAACAATGAATCCCTTGTTAATAATTTAGAAGTTTCAGAGGAACTGGGTGCTAGCGACCACAAATCAATTACAGCAGAATTGAATGGAAGTATGATAGTAGGGATAACTCAGTAACAGTCCCAGATTTTCGCTTAGCAGATTACGATGGGCTTAGAGAAACACTTATCATCTGTTGACTGGGGTAACGAAGAGAGCTATCAATATGACAGTTTTCTGAACACAATACATGCTGCTCAAAGAACGTTTATCCCCTTTTAAGGAAATAAGATCAAATAGAAATGACCCAAAATGGGATGAATAATAGGCTGAAATATCTACTAGGGCATAAGAAAGGAATTTATAGGCGTATCAAAAGAGGCGAGGGTCATCTTATGAATCAGTATATTGACATTAAGAGGGACATTAAAAAGGGGATAAGAAAAGCTTAAAAGGGACTATGAAATTAAAGTTGCTAGGGATTCTAAAACTAACCCAAAAAGTTTTTTCCAGGTCTATAGAACAAAAGTCAGAGATAAGATAGGTCCCCTTAAAAATAACTATGGGCATCTTACTGACAAAGAGAATGAAATGTGCTCGATTTTAAATAATTATTTTCTCTCGGTTTTTTACACAGGAAGACACTAATAATATTCCGGTAATTAATTTTTATAGTGGATCAGAAGAAGATAAATTATGTAACATCACAGTCACTAGTGAAATGGTTGTGAAGCAGATAGACAGACTGAAGCAAAATAAGTCACCGGGTCCTGATGAGGTTTTTTCAAGGGTTCTAAAGGAATGCAAAATGGAAGTCTGTGAACCATTAACTAATATTTTTAATTTATCTCTTCAAACAGGTGCAGTGTCTGATATGTGGAAGATGGCTAATGTAATTCCTATTTTTAAAACAGGGGACAAGTCGTTACCGTCAAAAATTACC